TAGATAATCTCATAAGAAGGAAAAGTAAACAAATGGAATATTTTGCTCAAACCTTACTAGTTGATTTATCTGAAGATTGCGTACAAGTTAGTTGGTTGTTTATTTCTTTCTCAACTCTCAATCCGCATGGAACTTTTCTGATGATCACCTTTGTTTTTTATGATGCTTATGGTTCATTTGTTCACTGGTAAAATTACAATTTTGTAAATCTGAAAGAAACAACAACAACAAACTTGTTTATTAAAGAGAAACATAAATTTATTGGTACAAAGGGGAACAAAGTATTGTAGCTAATACTCTATATTGACTTGAGAGATTTACTTGTTGGACGTAAAAGGGAATTGCAGAAATTACTACAAATCCATAAAACTCCAAATTAGCATGTCATTGAAGCGGAAAAAGTCTTGCTCGTCTTGCATGGTGTTGTTGAAGTCTTGGTTCTATTTGGTTCGCTCTGCCCTTATATGATTGATGAGGAAGCTCGAGAGTAGCGACTTCACTTTGGACCCATTTCCTTAAACAACAATAACACAATAAATTGCAAAGAGATTAGAAGAAAAAATAATAGGATTAGAGAAACTATTTAGTCTCTCTTTCTTCTTTCAATCCCTTTCTCAAGCCTTTGTCCTACTGCTTATAAACGTGACATGCTATAAAACAAAAACAATTAATGAAAATCATATCAAACTTTTAAAATTGCAAATTAAATAAAAACTTATCTGATGAGTTATCTCCATTTAAGCACTTCTTTAAGGTCCCGAGCTTGATCTTTTGACTTTTTGTTAGGGTGACATATATGATACAAAAAACACATCATCCTTCTTTTTCCTTTTGTTTGTTAGGAATTCCATCACTTTTAGGAATTGAAGTTTTTTCTTCCATTTTCTTTTCAAGGCATAAATCTCATCCAATAGTTTATCTATTTCTCCTCTTTCATCAGCCTTGTTGTTAGAATTAGAAATATTCTTTTGTTGAATATCTTATTGTTGGATATCTACATCTAGATAAATTATTTAATTTGGAGATTCATCCAAAACTACATAATCCTCATCTTGCATTCTTGCTCTTTTCCCAAATATTTGTTTCACCTCCACTTCTTTTATTCTTGCTTCAATTTCTTTATCAGGTGTTGTTCACTTTTCTTCTTCTTTCTCCTTTTCAGCTCCCCCTTCACCGACTACCTCACATTCTTGTTTGGAGTCTCTTTTAATTTTATTATCTCTAGGACTATCTAAAATTTTCCCATCAAACTCCCCACTAGAGCTCAGTTTTAATGCTAATTGGTTAGATATTTGATCAAGTTGTATATCTAAGTTCTTAAGGGATGCTTCCATGTCTCTTTGCAAGGTTTCTTGCTGCCTATTGATTTTATGGAAATTGATTTGAGTAATCTTTAGGAATTGGGACAAGGTTTCTTCAATTTGAGATAATGAATCCTCCTCCCATGAGTGCTCAGTGTTGTCGTACAGTTATGGTTCAAAATAATTTCTCGCATTTTGCATCATGAGAGTTTTTGCTGCAACTTGCTTTGTATAATCTTTGAACTTTGCTAAAGTAGTTGATATTACATCTTGAATAGTTATCTTAACCTTGCATACAAACAAAAATAAAACTACCTTAGTAGCACTGCACTAGATACGAAAATATTAAACAAAGATAAAATTAAAAAGAGAAAGAATATGAAAGAAAATTTAAGAAGAAACAAAAATAACTAATTACAGAAAATATATTTACAAATGAAACAAAAAAAAAACTAAATTAAACGTTGCCTTGTTGAAATTATCAACAGTATCTGACAACGACGTCAAAAACTTGATGACTTCTCGACAAGTGTATCGATAATATCGCAGTAATAAAAATATTGATCCATATGACTGCTATTTAACAAGACAAATATTGTGCAAAGTAAATTAAATATAAAATGGGGGGGGGGGGGGGGGGTTCGATTTTTAAGGCGAAAAATATTAAAAGGTTGTTCTGACAATAATACAAAAGTGGTTAGATTTTGTTATAGAATCCCCTAATTCTCTAGTGTTGATGTTTGATGCATTGCATAATTGATATTGTTGTTATTATTCCACGACGAATTAACAAGACCACTATACCCAATCCATTGGTGTATAGATCACTAATCTATACTCGGAGCTTCATATCCCTAGTCCACCAGTGTAAGCAAGATTAGGCGGTGTAATAAAACGTTAATCCCTAAGCCACTACTCGAGGTCTCTTATTTTTATTCAACTGGCGCAAGTACAATAATTTTCCTAGGTCCAACGCATAGATTAATGGTCAATATTCCATATGCATCCAAAATCAGATAAAAGGAGTATCTCACATAAAAAACATTAATAACAAGGTGTAATTGAATAAAATAATAACTTCAATGAATTATGCAATATTAAATTAAACATGTGTTCCAAAATATTGAAAAAGGTTCATCAAAACAAAACCTAACCTATGAGAAATTATCTACTCATAATTTAAATTAAAATACCAATAATTTATATGAGGGTTGCATTAAAGATCCCTTGAAGAATAGTCCTCTAATGGCTTTAAATACGCTCCAAATATGCCTTTAGGAGTTGTAAAATCGTACTTGCAGTGTAAATTCACAGAACCCTTGAAAAAGTACCAAATTTCCCCTTTTAAAGTAATCAGAACGCTTCAAAAAACCCATAAAACAAACTCATCACGCGCGCGTTACTGTCCATCACACACACAATACTGCACACACTGCATAGCGCGTGCAATACCGTCCATTACGCGCATGATTTTTTCGGAAGTTAGATATTTCTTTTAGCTTTACTCTCCAAAAAGATCCGTTTCAAAACGAGTTAGTGTTCTCCAAATATGGATAATTTACTGGACAAACATCAAGATGTAAATTATGCTGAAAATGCTATTTTTTTCACGATTTCTTAGCTTTGCTTTGTTTCTTCGACTACTTCATTTTTGATCCGCTGTCGCGGGCGAATCAAAAACGAGTTATTTTAAAATATGTAGTTAGCGCGACAATGGCTCGAGTCGTATTGCAAGGATTCTTGTCTTTATTAACTAAGAGTAGTAACGATTTATATGGGTTTGTCATTTTAGGATTTTTTTTATGAAAACATAGAAAATAAGTGATTATAAATTAAGTAATTATAAAATAAGCTAATCTGCTAATTCGGTTCCTACCTATCATTGATTATTATAACATCGCTTCCCTGAGCGGGTACTATTCCTGTTCGATCACAATAACATTCAACAAGCGAGAATGATATTATAAGAATTATGTTTCCTGTTTACTGAATTAAGCAAACAGTTAAAAGTAAGCGAATTAACGAATTAAGCAAACGATAACATACAATGAAAATTAGGGAACATAAATCAATCGAACCAAACAAAACTATTTCATGAAAATCAGATCAAGCAAACGATGAACATATAATAGAGTTGAAAGGAATAAGAATTAAATTGAAAAATTATATTAACCTCAAGTATCGGAACATGAATGTAGCAGATCAACTCAGAGGAAATTTAGCCCTCTATAAGATTCGTATAAAGCAAAAGTTTTATCGTGGAAAAAAAGGTTTTCTACTGTAGCACGGCTAAAAACCTTATAGACAAAATAGGGTTTTTCACTACTAAGTCAAATTGGGTCAGAAACATAAACCAGGTGCATAAAATGACCCGAAACAAATTGTTTTCTAACGTCTGAAACTTCAACGAATTACTGGGAATTATGCATTCCGAATCAGCTTCCGACTCCAAAATAAAAGTTGTATATCTTTCTCTCAGCTTTCCAACAATTATTAGAACGCGTCGATCCGATTCCTGAAGCTTCAGTTATGATTTTTTCATTGAAAGCTGCTAATGCTGAAAATAAAATACGAAAATCAATTAAAGGTAAAAATAAACTAAATTATAAAAACATCATAAAATAGAAAAATAAACAAAACAAACCATGGAAATGCCTAAGTACAAACATAAGAGAATGTGCATCAATATGCACTGATTAATTTTCTTTATACTTCTTCATATTTAGCTCATCTTTAGCTCAAATTCCAACGAGTTCATCGCAAGTACTCATAAAAATCATGTAATGACAAATTGTCATCACACCCCTTAGCCCAACTGCAATGCTCAAGGCGACTAAACTATTAAATGTACTTCACATTAATATATACATGAGACTTATTCACCATGATAGTACATCATACAAGATGTAACATATATACCCTGGCGGATACCTCATACATACCCTGATGCACTATATATATATATATATATATATATATATATACCTATATCGGAGCCAAGATAGGTGAAAATAAGCACAACTCATAGTCCTAAACTCATATATCACATGCTCCTCAGTAACCCCTAACTCATGTACAATAGTAATACATGCAATCTCCTAGATAATGAGAGGAGCTGTGAATAAATTACCTTCTAGGGGAAGATGGAACATATAAGAGACATCATCCAAGGTAATCATTATCTCACCAAATGGAAAATGGAATGAAGATGTCTTCTTATGCCTCGCTTAACAAAGACTGTTAATAACTGACTGTCAAGCATGGTCAGCGAACAATCCACCAATAATAGGAGACCGTAATCTTTAACAATCTCATTGACCTCCTCAATCTAAGAACTTCTCCAGCTTCTGCTTGTGGGTGAACTCCTTCAGCGGCAGTAGACCATGTAACAAACAAAATAAAAACATTATTTATTTTCGACGTATGGATAATAAATAAAGGCACATCATCGACATGTCATATACATACATCTCCCTACCATGATCTGAATACCACACGATCGACATATGCAGTTAGCACAAAATAATCAATGGGCCATCCGGGAAATGCTTTATTTGTGTGTATAGACGACTCTGTCGAAGCTGGAGCAGCGACCTTTGTCACAACCGAAGGAATGACATCCATATCATCTGTAGCAGGCACCTTAGTAATCGTCTACAAAGTAAGCTCTTTAGTAGTCGACGCCCCTGTCTCAAAAGGATGAGGCGCCTCTATCGGCTTAGAAGGATGTGGCACATTAGACTCTGCCACCATCTGCACAGTATCATCAACTACTGTCTAGACATCCTTAGCAGCAGGCTCATCATCAACATCTCTGGTCCATCCAACAAGAGCTCTAGATCCTTTATGCTGAGTAGTGCATGGTGCACGAAATTGATCGGCCAACCGCTTCTTGTGACAACCGGTCGGGACTACTCTTCCCACATGGAGATGCGAGTCCTCTACCTCACCTCATCCCGCTTGAGCCGCCAGTGCAGCAACTTCAACTTCATCGTGCTCCTGGGAAGCTATCGTTCCATCTCTTTCTCTAGTCCTCACTAGAAAAAAATAAAAAAATAGTTAATCTTTCAGATTTTAAAAAAAATATGAACAAAAAATCAGTTTATTATTGGATTTTTCTAAATATCCGATAAAAATTTCATACAGATTCCACATTTTTCAAAAAATATACATTTTACCGAATTTTTGAAAAAATCCAGAAAAAGCACGCATTTTTATCCGATATTTTGAAATTTTAGGAAAAATGTATGCATTTTTATCGTATTTTTCAAAAAATATGGGAAAACGTATGCTTTTTTATCGGATTTTTTGAAAAATTATGTAAACAAGCATATTTCTCTTAATTTTTTTAAAAATGCGGTAAAAATGCATGGTTTCATAATAAATTTGCTACTTATTGATTTCGAAAAATGTAATAGAAGATTTGAAAAAGCCGAAAATCTTCAAAGGTTTTTAAAAAATTGAAATGTTCCAATATTTTTTGTGAAATGAATTAGAGATATTGTAAGGACAAGAATGATAAAAACATATCTGATTTGGGGGTGCAAGTCAAAGTTGGAGGTGATAGGATAAAATGTCTCTAACTCATTAATAATTAGGTTTTTATTTAAGGGATTCTTTAATGAGAATTTCTTAATTCACCCTTATGTCTTCTTAGAAGTCCTTGGCGGAATTCCCACAATACCATTTGAATTCAAATATGCATGTCCGAACGAACCTAATATTTCATTTCTAGTGGATTTTCGAATATACATATCTGAAATAACCCAATATTTCATTTTCAGGAGATTTTCAGATATGCATATCTGAAATAATATAATATTTCGTCATTTTCAGAGGTTTTCAGATATGAATATCAAAACTAATAGTGTTAAGAATCAATTAGAATCAATGTATATCAATTAACATCAAGATGTATAAATTGTATTATTACCTTATTATATAGAATTTATATAAATATATACTCTAATGTGGCCTCAGTAGAAATAATCAAATATTTATTAAAGCATTAAATGAGAGGACATTAGCATATATATTTATATTCATATAAATTGTGTATAATAAGATAATACAATTAATATAATTGATAATTGATACGCTTTGATTTTAATTGATATATATCCAAAAATACTCTAAAAACAAAATATTAAATTATTTCAGATTTATATATCTAAATTTTTTTTTAAAATAAAATATTAAATACGTTTAAATATACATTTTCAAAATTTTATTTCAACCATTAAAAGGGTAGTAAGAAATTCCTTGGGCTATATTTGAGGCCCAACCCAATTATTTGCGCGCGAAACATTGGAAATCATCTCAGCGCCCAGAAGAAGAAAAAAACCAGAGACTCCAGAGAAAAAAAAAGGGTGCAACACTTCACACTCTCTTTCTCTCTCTCAATCCCACATTGCACTTCAAAATCGATTTCTCATAGAAATGCCGACAGAAGATTCAAAAGCGGTAATAAAACACGACGACGACGACGACACGGTTTCCACTTTCAAAAAAGTCACAAACCCGAACGATAAACCTCACTCCAAAGTTCCAAAACTCAAGAAAGAACCCAAAGAAGAAGCATCACGCGTTCCCAATTCCACTCCACCTTCTCGCTCTAAGAAAACTGTTAAGAAGGAACTCAAAGACTATGACTCCGACGACGATGACAAACCTATCGCCAGAAAAATCTCGAACAACAAGGTACAAAATCGAAATTGTTTGACCTAATTTTGGAAATGTTTGTTTTTGTTACTGTGATTTTGTTGTTTTAGGCTGTGAAGGAAGCGAAGGAAGTGAAGAAAAAGAAGAAGGTGAAGAAGGAGGAGAAGGTGGTTGTTACGGAGAAGAAAGTGAGGAAAGAGAAGAAGGTTTATGATTTACCTGGCCAGAAACGAGATCCGCCTGAAGAGGTTTGAATAATGATGCATTTGGATATTTTTTATTTCGTTTTTATGGGTTTTAGTAATTGGTTTGGACATTTTTTGTTGTTGTTTTTCAGAGAGATCCTCTTAGGGTTTTCTATGAGACTCTGCATGATCAAATTCCTAATAGCGAAATGGCACTAATATGGTGAGTTCTGAATGTGGCTATTTTGTGCTGATGTTTATCTTTTGGGATTTGCATTTTGTTGATCCCTTCCTGTTTAGATCATAGTTAACAATGTTGCGGACATGAATTAGCTTGATTACTAGACTTTGGCTTCTATAAAGAACACTATTGCAATGAATGTGGATTGGCACTCAAAAGCTACGAAGCATGGGCATGGACAGACACGGCACTGACATTGGCATTTCGATGCAAGTAGTAAGATTAGAAAATGGAACAATGTTGGGAAAATGAATTAGCTTAATTACTAGACTCTGGCTTCCCTGGAAGAACAATATTTTTATGAATGTGATTTTTTAAGTGAGCAACAAGAACACTAGCACAATATCCGAATCAGAAACTATGAAAGCACAAACACAGACACGACAACGACACTGACATTTCAATACTTGTAGTATTTTGAGATAATGGTATAATTGAATGTAACTGCATGTGTAGGTGTCATTTCGGTGTGCCAGACACTGTAGACGCCTTTACTATGTTAACTAGTTAGGCATTTCGGTAAGAATTGAGAGTAGAGATGAATGACATGCCAAGTGTGAATGGAAGAAAAATTAACATGCTCCTAGTTTAAAATCTTGTTCCACTGCCCTTATTTGAAATTTGTGCAATTTCAAACTCCTAATGCTTTATGTTTTTTTAGTGTCATGTTATATCATTATCAACAAGCTTACTTCCTCGTTATATCATTATCAGCAAGCTTACTCCCTCGTTATATCATTATCACTGCACTCAGAAGCTATGAAAGCACAAACACAGACACAACCCTGATATTGCAATACTTGTAGTAATTTGAGAAAGTGGTATAATTGAATGTAACCGCGTGTAAGTTTCATTTTGGTGTGCCAGCCACAAGACACGCCTTCACTATATATAAACTAGTTATGCATTTGAGTAGAGATGAGTGCCATGCCAACTTTGAATGGAAGATAATTAACATGTTTCTAGTTTAAAATCTTGTTCCTTATTTGAAATTCAAGCACTTTCAAACTCCTAATGCTTCAAGTTTATTTGGGGTCTCATCATATTTGTAAGCTTAGTGCCATGTAAAAAGTGTAGAATTAGTTTTAGTGATATACAGTAAGGCTAACTATTTGATCCCTGGCTTTCTAGTGCACTTTGTACAGATAATAGAATGCTCTTAATGCTTCACGTGTAAGGTTGTATTTCATTCAGTAAAATCTTATATGTTAGGATGTGAGCATTAGACTCAAAAAGTATTTTTTCCTATCTTTTATAACACCTAGTTTGACCTTGGACCCTGGAAATGCATGGGAATTGTGTGTGCTAAATTGAAGGTTACACATGCTATTATTTTCCTCATTGGGTTTTGTTTACAGTTTAAGGTACATGAGTAATGATTTTTATTTAGGTAAAAACTAGAATCTAAATTCTCTCAAGGGATGGTTGAGATGGACAAACTTTGATTCCTTGACCTGAAAATGAAACTATTTGAGGTTTAATCATGTTGTTGTTGAAGACAATTGAAGTTTTTACTTTTCTTTTAGGGATACATATTCTCCGACATACCAACTCTTAAATTAACATACACCGGCCCTGCAGTTTCTAGCCCCAAAACCATGTAAGCGGTTGTAAATTGCATTCCACCACTATCTGGCTGAATGCATTTGTTCGACTTTGATTGTCCGTTACTGTCTATATCGGATTTGCATTTTTCATGGTCAAAGTTCTAGTTCTGACATCACTCTTTTTATCTGATATTTTATTGTTTATATCATTGTATCAAAGTTGGGAGCATGCAAATAATGTATTTTTGTTGCTTTCTTGTCTTAGTTCAGAGTTTTTTCGGGATTATCGTCTCTTTTTCTTGTCTGATTTATCAATTCAGTATATGCGTAACATGTTCATTAAAATTCCCTTTCCCACATTTTCTTAGCCTGTCTGGTTGAAGTAAAAGCAATCAGACCAATTATCACGAAATGTATATTATGCCTGATTGAAACTGGCAAGAAAGATAAGTTGTGTAGCTTATCTCTGAGCAATAAAAGGTACCTTTATTATTAAGTTAATAAAGCTTAGACGGTTGTTAATTTTTATTACTGAATGTTACTGCAGGTTAATGGAATCGGGCTTGCTTCCTAAAGAGGTGGCAAAGAAAGTATTTGAGAAGAAGCAAAAGAAAACTCGTCAACAGAAGGTCACTTCTCCTGTTAACTCTGTATCTTCTGTGAAGAAAAAAAGCACCAAAACTGTTACAACAACAACAACAAAAACAACCAAATCGGTTACAGTTAAGAAAAAAAGCCCAACTACCCCCAATTCTTCTGGTAAAAAGGAGACAACAAACTCCGTGTCAAAGCCGATCAAGAAGCGCAAATCTGAGTCTATGAGCTCTGAAGATGATGACTCCGATTTTGGCATTGGTTCAGTGACAACAAAGAGGAGAAAAGTGGCTTAATTATGACAAATGTTTTGCATTTTTCTCTCCTGGCATTTGTTGCCAATGCCACAGAACTTGTAAGGGGGCACACATGAGGACATGATGCTATTTAACTTTCACAGAGGTTGCATGTTCTGAGTTTAGTTTTTAGCTTTGTGCTTGTGAAGTCTGCTTTAGATCTTTAAATTGTTAATTATGCAAACAATTCACCTTAATATATGAAAACGTTATTTAATTAGCAAGATGAATCTGTTGTAAAATTTTATTTAATCCAAGTTTAATCTTTTTCCCTTGTTGTTTCTGTAAATTATTTATAAAAGATCTAAATTCTCCACCTTGATCACTTTGCACAACTTTTACGGAACATGAAAATTGATTTTGCTCAAATTTGTGAAACTGATGAAAAGTGTATCAACAAAAATTATAGAATAAACTAGCATTCAAACAAAAACTCACGTGCTCGTTAGTCTGTTTTTTTAATGTGTATAGCAGAGTAAATAAATGTGTATATTTTTTTTGTTGAGATTTTTATTGTTCGTCGTCTTAAAAATAATATTATTTAAACATGATTAGTATAATCAAAATTAAGATGATAAATATTTGTTTTCAATATATTTTAGCATTCTACTCTATCCCTCCCTCCACATATATCATACTGCCCTTTTATTGGGCTATAACGCATATGTTTTTTATGAAGTTTTTGGTATATATTCTAACCGCACGTGGTCCCCTTCTTGGATGGTGCACTGCGAAGAATGAGGGAGAACGAAAATGCGGTCTTTCCGGAGCTTCAAGAATTCCACAGCGTTCAGAGGGGATAGAGTCTTCCCTACGGGGATGATACTCGAGCAAGACTCGAGCTGGAGTGCCATTGGTCGGGGATGTTGCTCGCTGCAGGTAGCGGCGGGCATTGTCGCTGAGGTCTGTGATTGGGCGTGCTCGGGGTGGTCTGATTCCGAGCACTCCTCGAGGAGCTGCATGGATCTGGACCTTTATTTGCACTTTGGGCCAAGGCGGGCCCAGTCCAGAACAGGGGCCCCCCAAGTCGTTGTTTCTGGCACAGGAATTATGACTTGACCTCAGTTTGCTCTTTTCGCGGGGGCCTCATGCCCGACTATGGGCTTTCCCTTTCGAGGCGTGCTCGCGGGGGCACGTAAGCTGCGTCTGTCGGACACGTGGCGTAGTCCTTGGGAATTGCAACGCCGCCCTAGTAAATATGGTCATTATTGCCTAGGTGGATAGGTGTCGAGGATGGGGGAAGTTCGTGTCTCCTCGGTGCGATGTTTCACATTTCACGTCATCTCTATAAATAGGACCCTTGGGCCCCATAACCTGTTTCTCCTCTTCACGCTCCCCCTGCTTTCTCTCTGTTTACAGTCGTTGGTTCCGTAACGTCGTTAAGACCGCCGCACCGTTCACCGTTGATTACTCCCATCACCGTTGTTTCCACTCCTCTTCTTCCAAGTAAGTATCCCTTCTTCCTGCTTCCCTGTGTTGTAGATAGCTTTGATGATATTTTTGACACTAGAAACCTGTATTTGGAAGCACTGCCCGATAGATTTAAGCGCGCTAGGCGCCTAATTCATGGTTGTGCTCGAGACGCTCATAGTTTTAGCCATATGATTCATGATATTGCCCGTGATACTTGTAACACCCCTTCTAAATAACCCGCGAATGTATTAATTAAATCAGAGTAACATGGAAAACAGGGATGTCACAATCCAAGATAAATATAAAAACCTCAAATCTACAGTTATCATGCTTTACTGAAGGAATTATTAAGATAAATATTCAAATAAATATCATGTTCTACACAGCGGAAATGTCTCAAAACCGGAATAACTTTACTTCATAAGTATTCCAAACATAAATTAAACAATAGAGTATAAAATAAAATTCATCATTCAAACGTTTCCCCCAGTGTTACAACCTATCAGAGCACGACACTGACACGCGGACTTAAAGTAACATAGCTCTAGAGCCATCCTCACCAGCTCAGCTAACTTTAATCTGAAATTGTTAAAGTAAGGGTGAGATTTCTCATAATTAACATGCATTATAAGCTTCTCAATCAACATTATATCACAAGCATATTATTTCACCCACTTTAGCATAAATTCAGATTCAACACACAGTTCCAATCATACAAGTCAATATGCACAAATCAATAATCAACCAAAGAATTGTAACACTGGAAGACATCCTAACATGTTACAATTCCATGCAAACACAAATGCAGACACAATGCACGTGGTACCAACACGTGACCAAGTCACCCAACACTGATCCATCATCAACCGGATACAACAACCATCGATTCGTCCATAAACACCCGGACACGAATCCAGCCTAACCATCCATCATCACCCGGGTATCGGTTAACGGCAATACAAGTCAAATTCCACACAATGGGAATTAACTTCACCAAAACAATGCATATGCACGCACATCACTAGCATGCAACATCAAATCAGTCTATGAAATACATCAATTTATCATAACTGAACCAAAACCAAAAACATGATATCTCAACGATCATGCACACCATCATTAGCAACATAAACATGCCTTTCATTCACACAATACTAATACATCCATTCATCACAGGTTCACTGTTACATACACACCCATGTGCGTTAGCCAATAATCACTTATTCCGAGATTTGACTCATTTTCAAAATAATTTCAGTTTTTAGGAAATATTTTCATTTTATAAAATAGAGCATTAAATTTAAGAAATAACGTCCAAAACGGCACTCAAAACAGACTTACGGTTTGAAAGTTATGAATTTTCAAAGTTTAATATTTTTCAAAAAGTTACAGCAGAACCCGGTTCCTACATATGCAGGAACCGGTTCCTGTGAAGTTCAAAAATCACGTTTCTGAAAAATGTATGGGAACCCGGTTCCTACCTATACAGGAACCGGTTCCTACGTGAAATTTTGCCAGTTTTTATAACTTCGCACAGTGGAACTCGGTTCCTCCCCACTGGGAACCGGTTCCCACGACCTGCAGAGCCCAAAACTACTATTTTTGACATCATTTTACTACTCCAATCCCATCCAATTCATACCCATTCGAATCTAACTCACCGCAATGTCAAAATAAGTTATAATACATGATTCCAATGAGATTGTAACACACCACAACATCATACAATTTCCTCATAATATCAAATTGAATCAAAACATAAAAATTCATGGAATTGGGGTTTGAATTTCATAAACCTAACGATCCTAAATTGGGATTCCTAACAGGCTTAATCAATCCTATTGATTCCAAAACCTATAAGGCATATTAACTGAATGAAATCACCCCTTACCTCGCGATGATCCTTCGAATTCACAGCGTTTGGCTTTTTCCTCTCTTCTCCAATTTCACGTACAATGACTTTTCCAAATAACCTTCTTTTTTTCTTTTTCCTTTCTATCCTTCTTTTTCTATTCCTTTTTTTTTATTTGCCAAATAATAGTAATAAATTAGTTATTATTTAGTAGAGCTTTTTACTTCAGACACCTCTAATTCAACCTTACACCCCCCGGTCTTCCTTTTTAATTCCATAATTAATTCATCCATTTAATCCAAAATATTATTAATTAAGCCTTTAATTAATTTAATAATTAAATTCCTAATTATTTAACACTTGAATAAATTTGGGGTGTCACAACTCTCCCCTACTAAAAGAGTTTTCGTCCTCGAAAACATACCTTAGACGAACAGTTCGGGATACGAGTCCTTCATCTGGCTCTCCAGCTCCCAAGTGACATTTCCATCTGCTGGTCCTCCCCAAGCCACTCTTACCAACGCGATCTCCTTGCCTTGCAACTGTTTCAACTTCCGATCCTCAATTCTCGCAGGTGCCGCTTCCACAGTCAAATTCTCTCGTACCTGTATATCGTCTACCCGAATCTTATGAGACGGATCAACAATGTACTTCCTTAGCTGAGATACATGAAAAACATCATGCAAATTTGCAAGTGACGGCGGCAAAGAAATCTGATAAGCAACTTTCCCAACTCTCTTGGTAATCTGAAATGGACCAATAAACGTGGAGTCAACTTCTTTGACTTCAAAGCTCGACCAATACCAGTCATCGGAGTAACTCGCATAAAAACATGTTCTCCTTCGCTAAACTCAAGATCTTTCCTCCTCTTATCGTGATAACTTTTCTGACGACTCTGAGAAGTCCTTATCTTCTCCTGAATCATCTTAATCTTTTCCGAAGTCTGTTGGACAATTTCCGGTCCAATCACAGCACTCTCTCCAGATTCATACCAACACAACGGTGTCCGACACCTCCTACCATACAATGCCTCAAACGGAGCCATACCAATGCTCGAATGAAAACTATTGTTGTAGGTAAACTCAATCAATGGTAGATAACTATCCCAAGCTCCACCTTTCTCCAACACACAAGCTCTTAACAAATCTTCCAACGACTGGATCGTTCTCTCCGTCTGACCATCTCTCTGTGGATGATAAGCGGAACTCAAACGCAACTTAGTACCCAAAGCTTCTTGCAATCCCGTCCAGAATTTAGATGTAAACCTCAGATCTCGATCCGACACAATACTAGAAGGAATACCGTGCAAACTCACAATCTTCTCAACATACAATTCTGCCAACCTTTCCATCGGATAATCCATTCTTATCGGAATAAAGTGAGCATATTTCGTCAACCGATCAACAATAACCCAGATAGAATCACAATTCTTCGATGTCCTTGGCAAACCAGACACAAAATCCATAGAGATTCCATCCCATTTCCATTCCGGAACAAACAACGGTTCCATCAATCCTGACGGTTTATGATGCTCAATCTTCGACTTCTGACAAACCAACCAAGCATACACAAACTCAGCAATTTCCTTTTTCATTCCCGGCCACCAAAACAACTTCTTCAAATCATGGTACATTTTAGTAGCACCAGGATGAATACTCAATCCACTACGATGTCCTTCTTAGGAAATACTCTTCCTAATCTCTGCAACATCCGGAACACACACCCTATTACCAAA